CCTGATGCCTATTTCCAAGACTGCCTCACCCAGGACTAACCTTCCCCTACGTCTTCCTTTCCCTTTCCCATTCATTTAACATATATTTATGTCCTAGACACTGTTAAGCACTTGGGATATATATATTGGTGAACAGTAATAGATGTGGTTCCTACTCACTGTGTTCTACTCTAAGAAAAACATATCAAATAATTATACAAATTGATGAGTGTGACTGTAATTAATGCTACCAAGAAGATTCCTGGTTCTATGATAGCCTATTGACCTACTTAAGAAAGGCAAGGTAGGCTTCCTGGAAGAAGCAACATGAGCTCAACTCTAAAGATGAACATAAGTTAACTAGGAAACCAAAGGGGCAAAGGTAGCGGGGAGAGAATGGGAAGTAGAGGGATAAAGAGAAGTCCATTATGGTTGGAACAGGTTAAGTGAGAGAGCAAAGGTTAAAGGCTGGACAGATAGGCAAGGGGGGGGGCATTTATAGTCAAGCAAACTGTGTTAAAAAGTTTTTTCATTATCTAAAGGCAAGTAGTCAGAAGGTTTTTAAGTGGAAAAGTGCCAAGATTATATGTATTTTGAAAAGATCACTATGGCTGCTGTGGAAGTGACTGGAAAAGGATCACAGTGGATGTGGGTATACAGGAAGCTATTGTAGTAAGCCAGGAGCAAGGTGGTGGTAGCTTGGACTGGGAAGGTGGCAGTCAAGATGGAGAGAAATAGAACAGTTGAACAGATATTTAGGAGGCACATGAACTTTAACTATAGCTATACAATATGGTATGTCATCTTTACTTCTGATCTGAGCAAATATATTCGTGTTTACATCAGCTAGATACAGGAGAATGCATTTTGCTAACATTGGTTGTCTTTTTTCATTAGGACAATTCTTCTTAGAAAAAAAGGTGTGTGGTCACATTGCAAGTGAATTGTGTCTGGGATATTCTGAAGCTAAGTACAAAACTAGTGAAGAACAGAATTTAAAACTGCCATAAAATAGCCAAAATGGGGGCAGGGGACATGGCTATGGAATCAACAGTAAGGAGAAAAAACACCCAAGGGGCATTGTAAAGAAGACAAAATGAAAAACAAATGTTCAGAGGACAGGCAGGAAACTGCCATCTTGGTGGGAAAAGTTCAAACAGGATTCCTCAGATGCACCAAAGGTAGGATAGCGCTTTCCAAGGTCTGTAGAGATCTAGAAAAAAATGAACCTTTGAGTCATTTACATGAAGACTACGGACTCCTTGGTGAAGTGAGGGACTCTGCATTAATATTCTTAGACTCGGGTGAATGCTTAAGAGGGCAGGTCAGCACAAACTTCAGGAGTGCTACCATCTGGTTGGTCCACAGGCTGAGGAGTAGGACCCAGGTTATGTACCCAGGTAGTTGCCGGGCCTGCCAGAAAGGATCAGTATTGTAGGAGGGAATGAAAACACTAACGGCAAACACCAAGGCTGTATGGAACTGAGAATGAGGATGTGGCTACTTCCCCGGGAGGAGAAGACTCTACTAAGGGCTGCTTTTCCCTCTGCCCAAGGCTGAGAGTTGAAAATTTGCTGTCACTGCAGGATGGGGGACCTGGCAAGGACAGACCACCACAGCACTCCCAGCAGTTACATAGTCAACTTTCTGGCAACTAAACCCCAATGGCTTCTGGGAATTTGGGAATGACCTAGCTGCACTAAATAGATTTTGTGGAGAGCTCATATCAAGTCCTGGGAGAGGGGCAGGTTTGGCTGGTTCCTAGAGAAATATTGTGGATGAGGTTGGGTTGGCAGTTGGCTCTGGGTGGCTACTTAGACCACCTGGCCCCACTACAAGCCCTCTAGTAGGGGCCATTTCCCACAGCACGGCCAAGAGGGGCGTTTTAAGTACCACATACCTCTCTGTATCAAATATTATTTAGGGCAAGCAGACAAGAGGCCAAAAAATAGCCATCAAACTTTAACTATGGACCAAGCTAGCTGGAAATGAGTGAGTTTCTGAGTCATTGAACAACAAATAGGTCTTCAGCCTCACCTTTCTCCTCGACTAATGTCCCCAATTCACATCAGAAATGCATTATTGTGGCTTGTGTGGGTCTGCAAAGGTGACTCAATCTATGTCACTGAACCCCTTTCACATTAATTAACCCTTTTGGTGTAAAGACCAGTCTTTTTTAGGGATTCTTGCAATTACACTGCCGGGTGTTTCTAATGGGCCATGAAGGCATCAAGGTTCAGGGACAAAACTGTGTACTGTCCTGACAAAGAGGAATTTTTACAAGGTATTTGGAAAGCTGCTTGTTTGAGGTAGAATAAATGGTTTAAAATAGGAGTTCTGGGTGATCCCGAAGAGCTAAGGAAAATGGGTGAAGTATAATCTCTGAATTTTTGCTACATTTCTAAAGCCCAATCATGTTGCATAAAACAGCATTTCAGCTCTTAGCCAGGCAATTTTCAATGTACTTTTGCAGCTGGTAGGTCTATGAGCCACTCCAGCACAATGCATATAAAAGATTCTATAATAGTGGTAACTGCCTTGGGCTTCTGGCACTTAACTAAAAGATGGGTTCCCACTTAAAAGAAACAACTGTATACTGCAAGAGGCATTGCTAAATCAAAGTGTGACCTAAATGGACTAGGTCTACAGTTGTAGAGGTTCTCACTAGGGAAATCTTTTCAATGTTTGGGTCTAGGTCAGCCATGGGCAAACTATGGCCCGCTTGAAATGAATAAAACTAAAAAAAAAAAAAAAAAAAAGTAAAAAAGTTTGCCCACCCCTGGTCTAGGTCCTAGAAGGATGTTATTTTCAATGAACTCAGCACATAAATGTTGGACACATTTGTTCATAGAACTTTGAGTTAGTAATCAGCCTTCTCTAGCATGTTATCTAATAACAACTTTAAAATAAAAATACTTAAAAAATTTCTCAGTCACACTAGCCACAGAGCTACTATATTGGTCAATGCATTCTGAAACAATTCCATCACAGAAAATTCTACTGGACAGTGCAGTAGCTTTGAGTGTGGCGGGCCAATCAAGTTGGGCTTCAACATGCTTTCCTACAACCTCAGGATTTTTGTCTCTCCTTCAACCCTAGCTTCTCTCACCTTTACCCTACTCACATACCTCCTTACGTGTTTCCTATACTCTGGCCTGATTTTAATGCAGGTATATTCTTAACATTTCACACACACACACCCCAATAGAAAATTGATGCCCAAGTCCCAGTGACTGAAATTTAATATCTGGAGTACACACCTGGGAAATCAGGATTCTAAAGGTCCCTAGGTAATTTTAATGTACAACCAAGGTTGAGAACTACTAGACAACTAGTTTGATAAAGTACTAATAACCATTCTAATTACATTTTTAAGTTTGTGAAAGGCATGTAACTTTTTTGCATAAGGAAATTTGTCAGACTTCAGAACATCTTTTGTCCCTCAAACTCCTGTGTGACATTAAAAAAACAATCTGGCATGTTCAGGACGGGAACAGAGAGCACCAGGCCTTCTAATCCTCATTCACCCTGGGCTTCAACACCTTCCTGTGAACTACCCTCTGTTGGCATTCACCCCATTATACTATTCCTTCTCTCTTCCTATTACGGTCTGCACCTCTAATTTAAGCTGTGGGGGAAGTGTCTCACCTAGTTCACAAGAGGGCTAACTTCACCACTCTCCAAACAGGTCCTACTTTTCATAATTGGGGCTAAAAATATTTTTTCATTAACAAAGTAATACAACCACATACTGCTTTCAGACCTTTTCCTTGGTTTACTTCACTTCAATAGGATTAATTTATCAAAAATCCAAACTTGGAACTTTGCAACATCCCTAATTTAGTCAGTCTCCTCTGTAAACATCTGGAATTCTCTCATCACAGTCAGGTATAAATCCATATCCAGCTTTCTCTCTCGTTTAACTGACCAAATTTTTAATTTATGCCAAACTCTTTCTAAACACTAAAAATTCTCCAACATAGAGCCCATATTAAGTCAAACCACCACAGTATAAATGATACCTGTTCTCTGTGAAGTACAGCATTGATAAGCCTGTGAAGTACTTTTAAAGTTACTTGATTGCCCATACTCTGCATATTACATATAACTCATTTACTGGTTACCCTCATTTCTATCATAGCTGTTTTACTGTTAAGTTGGTGCTTTTTCTTTGAACTTAAATGCATTTTCTTCGTCAAGGTGATCTGAACTAGGGTCCAGAAATTCAAACCCCATTTGACATTGGTGTATTTCAGGGATTTTCAACTGGTATGCCACAAGAACTCTTAAAACATAGAATACCTGACTATTTAGTCAGGAATCCTGATCTCTCTTCCCTAAGACTGTCAAATTAAAACATGACAACAGCCAACACAACAGTTGTCCGGTGTGAATGAAATGAAATCTACTGGGAATCCTCTTTTCAACTATTTTTTTTTGTCAGATCAGCAAAAAAAACCAAACAACTTTTTTGGTGTGCCACAGGATTTTAATTAGTTCACGTGTCATGAGATGAAAAAGGTTGAAAATCACTGGTGTAGTTTAATTTCTCTTATATTAAATAGAAAGGTCAGTAAGAATGTGTATGTGGCTAAGTCCTTCATTTCCCCAGGCCACAGTCAATAATGATGCTTGCTGGTTCTCGCCTGAAAATTAGTGCATCAGTGGCTAGCCACATATTCTCAGAATAAAGTACATCTTTCAACCGATCTCATTAAACATATAGCTATTCCCTATTCCCCAAGTATTTCTGTAACATTACCTAAATACTAGTACTTGTAAAGTTTAGTTTGTCATCTGTTGTTTTACTTTCCCTGTCATACCCGTGGGCTTCGCTGCTAAATTGTCCAATAGATTCCTTTGACATTTTATCATTACTGGATGGCTGAAATGATAGCACATTTCCTTCTACTCCTTCCATTACTTTCTCAGTCCTCATTTGACTTCCGTTTATTCCTTTCCAATTTACCATACCTTGCCGTTCCTGTTTGCATTTTCTGTTACACCTAGTTTCCACTGTAAGAGATTTAAGAACCTGCACTGACTAGCACTAATCTTATAAACTTTACAGGCTTAGGATGTTATGGTAATATTTGAACTGAAATCTACTGGGAAACCTCTTTTCAACTATGAAGGCATTTAATTCACAGTAGCCTGAGAACAAGAGTGTAAAGTGATTCTTCCCCATGAAGACAACCTAGACCAGCCGTGGGCAAACTACGGCCCACGGGCCGGATCCAGCCCGTTTGAAATGAATAAAACTAAAATAAAAAAGACCGTACCCTTTTACGTAATGATGTTTACTTTGAATTTATATTAGTTCACACAAACACTCCATCCATGCTTTTGTTCCGGCTCTCCGGTCCAGTTTAAGAACCCATTGTGGCCCTCGAGTCAAAAAGTTTGCCCACTCCTGACCTAGACACATCTTTTGTCAGTAACACTGTGTGTGCAGATTTTCTAAGAGTGGATGATCATTTCTCTAGCTATTAAAAAAAGAGCCATTCCTCAGTTTCTTTCAATATTTAGTTTTGAAGGAATTAGAAATAGGCACTTTCACCT